TATAAGGAAAGGCTGGAAGCACTGGGATTATTTAGTCTGGAAAAGAAAAAGCTGGGAGCGGGAAGGGTTCGATAGCAGTCTTCAAATATAAAAAGTGCTGTTATAAAGGAAATAGGAACTGCCTTTGCTCCAACTATTTAGTTGGTCTAATAAAAGATACCAGATTCACCCAAAGAACCTTGTCTACCTATGTCCTTAGACCAATACAGCTACAACCTACACCCCTGTAAGTTAGAGGTTATGCACTGAAGCAGATTCCCTAGAGCATTGTTTCTCAATCCATGACCCAAAAGTGGGTTGCAAGAATATATGAAAGGGTCGCAAACAAACTTTAAAAATGGATTTTCCTTTAAAGGAGAAAAATGTGGGATACTGAAGCTTTTCCCTTGCAGAGTTCCAGCCTGCAAGAGGCTGCTTGGGGCCCCCCTTGCCCATGCACTCAGGGCTGGGGATAGCGGGTCAGGAGTGAGGGGCACTGGCCACCAGTGTTTCAAATGGGTCCTGGTACAAAAAAGGTTGAGAAACGCTGTCCTAGAGCAGCAGTCTACAGCTGGCTTTGGGCCAGATTGAGTTGGAGGTGGGTGGGTGCTAGGATTCAGGTGCAGCTGCTGCTTTTCCCCACCGCTGGCATGGAGAGAACATCTGCTGCTGCTGCGTCTTTTCCCCACGCCCACCACTGCCACTTTCCCCTGCGACTGCTGCAGAAGCTCCCTGCCACCCAGTGCCCCTGGAGTTTGCCCACAGGCTGGTCACTGTCCTAGAGACTGTGGCATCTTCATCATTTGAAGTTTTTTAAGTGCAGGTTTAGCTGGGATGGATTAGGCAGGGATGATCCTGCCTTGAGTAGGGGACTGGACTAAATAACCACCCTGAGGTCCTCTTCCAGCCCTACTTTTTTGTTCTGTGACTTCTAAAACTGGACTGTTTACACAACTTAAACAGTTGGTATAAGATATTGTAAGATGGTGTCCACCTGTTTTGGTGTCTTGCAGCCTCCAGCATTTAAGGTCTAAGTGAGAGAGAGGAACAGAGGAAAAAACCCTGGTCAGACCCATTTCACTCTCCCTTTCAACATTGGCTCTCTACCACTCTGACACACATGATCCTGGACAAGATGGGCCCTTGATCTGATGCAGTTAATGGCAGTTCCTATGTGAAATTATAGCATCACTTGGATGTTACAGAATTGCAGGATAGCCGTGACCTTTTATAGGGCTGTAACTGTGGACTCCCGTCTTCCCAGGTGATCTGTGTAGCTCCAAAGAGCACATGGACTTTAATGTCATCTGACCTGATATATCTTCCTTTTAAACTAAGGCCAGTATAACTTGGCTTAAGTATCTAGGTATCCAGTGTTGCATAACTTTCTCAAACCAGTCTTTAGAGTAAAGCAGGAGACCTCAATAAATTCTGCAATTAATGATCAAGTATGATAGTCATAATGGCTCTAACTGCTGACTTATATGTCCTTGCGTTTTTTCTCTTCACAGATGGAGCTGAAGAAGAAAAAATGGAAACCGAGACAGATGGGCAGCAGTCAGAAAAAGTGAGTATCTGAGCCTTCAGTCTTTGTGTGGTACTTCCTGAAGTTTGCCGTTTGCAATTAAGTTGGCAATAATTATTACTTTTGTATTGCAACAACGTCAAAAATCATGGCAACGTTGTGCTAGCCACTTTACACATGTATAATGAAAACTTGAACCCTGCCCTAAATGGCTTGCAATCCTAGAGCACCTTGTTTGGCCTCAGCTTAGTGTTTGGGTCACTCTGCTGTTTTAAGATTGCTCAGGGTAGAGTTGTGGGGGCAAAATGAGAGGAGTCAGTCAGTCTATCCTTCAGCCCCTGCCAGCCCCAGAGCAGCAAGGAGTACAGGGGTAGAAGTGGAAATGTCGATAAGAGCCCTGGAGAAGCTGCACTAGGAACTCCTGATATGTTCTGCGCTAGAATCATAGAAAAAAAGAGTTGGAAGGGACCTCCAGCAGTAATCTAATCCAGTCCCCTCTCCAGTGATAGGATCATCCCTATCCAAACCATCCTATACAAATCCACAATCAACTTCTTAGCAAAACTACACAGTCAACCCAGACACAATACAAGGCATAACTCCCTAATTTGCCACAAGTAAAACAGGGGGACCATGGCAACCAATGTGCTGCTGCTGGAAAGGTGGTTAAAATACACTCGAGAGATCCAAGGAAGAGGGCATACTCCCATCAGAATTCCCAGTGTTGGCTGCAGCCAACATTCAATGGTTTTGAGAGAGGCAACCCCCCCCCCCCCCAAAAAAAAAAAAA